GCGAGGTTCGACTTGGGGTGCGCTGGTGACAGCGCTTTATCCATTTCAAAGCACCGACGCTGTCGGGATTTAAGTTCCGATACTGGATGTTGACGATAAACAAAAATAAGCTTTTTATGCCCAGAACGGAGAACTAGATGGCTTTTTATCTGCAACGAGTGAAAAATAAATATATGAGAGGCGAGAAGATAGTAAACTGCGTCGCTTTCAGCGATAGGATACATTATAGTAGTCTGGTTCTCTAATGCAATTAACACTATCGACCATGTACTCATCCGAGCGTGAATGATTCAGTCGGTTGCTAGGACCCAGCACAATGGGTTTTGTCAGAACAGACGGTGAAACTATCACCGATCACGTCTCTGCAAGCGATCGACAACGGAACAGACTGTCAAAAATGTCTGAAAAGAACGGAAGAAAGAGCCTAATGCGCAACGTTGAGTAGGATGAAAAGTAGGCTGTCACAAATAAGGGAAGAAGAATTCGGTGAGAAACAACAGAGACAATGACCCCAATTTGCTTTCTGGTTGGGATTCGGCTGCGAAAAAAAGTAACCTGTGTGTCTTTGTAGTGTACTTAATGAGGTGACAAAAATAATTTTGCATTTGATGCCCCTTTGTGGGCGTACTAGGGACAGCATCGGCCAGTCATTCAAAGCTCTGATGGGTATTGGCAGTAGATTCTTTCAGGATGGAGAGCAGGGTCAAGTTCTTTGAAAAGTCACCAAGGATTCAGACCTGCTCCGATGAACAACTTAAAGTCCTCATAACCATTTATTATCGCTGCGTGTGAATTTCAAGGGAGCTGGCAATACAGAAGTTTACTACGGAGCACTTACCGGATTTGCCAGAAGGGAATTAGCGTCACCGTTCGCGAGATGAGTAGGCGAGGGGGTTGTGTCATTCGTGGTAGAGTTTTCATCCAGGGTGGGATTCACGTCACAGCCAGCTATGCCATTTAGCTTAACCGAGGGCGCCGCCGAGAGAAGAGAGCCTTGGTCGCCTTCGGTGAGAGGTGAGTCAAAGCCCGCAGCGGACATTAGATCCGAGACCTCCTTCCTAATCACGGGATCCGAAAGCCAGGGGTGTTCTAGGACCGCCTTGGTAGGTTAAGAGAGAGAGGAATTTTAATAATGGGGGTGGTTTCAGTGTTAGACGAAAGAGAAATTCGGTATGATGCTAGCGTATGGAATTACCAATCCATGAAATGTACCAAGACTGAATTTACTGATCCCTCTTAAGTCAAAAGAATCGCATGCAGGCACCCGT